CATCTTGGAGAAGGATTTTGGAGCTGGGAAGAGTGTATTTATGGTTTTAGCTGTAACAGGGGTGTGCACCAGGCCGGGAACTGGGGCGCTGGGCCTCACGCTGCCACCCCCAGGGCTTGCATCACAACCTGCTCACCAGGCTCTGCTGGCTTGACCGGTGCGCTCCAAGGCTCCACATAATGTCAGCACAGTACTGCCAGATCTGGAGCTCAGTGCTGGATCCCCCCTGAGCAAAGCCCACCCCATCCCGGGGGCCTGGCAGCCAGGAATAGGGCAGTCGTGGATGGTCTGGAACCACCACTGCAGCATGGATGCATCCTTGCCTTGCTCCTTCACCGAAAATGGCATCATCTAATGTCCTCGTCTTGGTGACTGTCAGCGTGAGGTGGCTCCGGCACAGCTTTGAAACATGGAGGAGAGCTCACAGGGCACCAACTGTCCCAGTTGCTTGCCCCGTGGCAATGGTTTCCACCTGGGGAAGCTCCCCCTGCTCTAAGCAGTTGGGTGTTATGATTAGTCTTAATTATTTTTCTGGCTCAGCACTTGTTGCCTGAGTTTCAGCTTGGACAGACTGAGGAGCTAGTGCTGAGCTGAGAGTCACAGTGAGCCACAAAACTGCAGGACCAAACCACTGGTGTCTTTTAGACCACCTCCATGCCTGCAGTGAGATGCCCGTGTCCATGTGTCAGGACGGACCAGCTCAGAAACAAGCTGTGGAGTTGTCTCCCCTCTCCTTGGTTTTGGTGCTGATCCTGAATGCTTCTGCTGGCTTGCCATTCCTGTTCACCCTGATGCTAGGGCTAGAGTTAAAAAAAATAAGTCTCTCTCTCTCTCTGAGGTGCTGCAGTGAGCACAGCATCGTGCTGCTGGGGAGGTGTGTGGGCAGCATGGGAACTGGGGGGGCCTCGCCCTGCCCCGGGGCTCACGCCTGCCCCAGCGCCGCTGTCAGCCCGATGGGGTAATCGGGGCTGAGACACCACCTGGCACCCGCTGTGCTGTGCCAGCACTTCTGGGGGCAGGTGGGACAGGTGAGGGGCTTGGGAGCCCCCTCCCCACAACACCCACCCCCGAGGACTTTCCAGGATGGCCCCGGGCACCTCAGGTCGCTGTCTCATGGATGAGCCAAAGGTGTTGCCAGAATCCAGCATGCAGGAAAAGCAGCTTTTGGGGAGAAACCTGATAAGGGCAGGGTGGGAAGAAGGA